ATTTTGTCTCCAAAAGGTATTTATTTTAGTTTTTGTTACAGAAGAAACTTGTATCAGATGCCCACATTTGTACAATTCATGGTGTGCGGAAGCAAGAAGCTACGATTGTTTTCTTATCCTATGTAGTGTATTCTTTGTAATTCCCAATTGCAGTCTGACCTCAGATGACAGCTCAATCATCCAGCCATGTATTCGTTTTCGAGGAGGCCCTGGGGCCACGGTGATTCCTGGTTTGCAGAGAAGTGGCACTGCCTGTCTGGGAGACAAGTGGAAGTGTGTGAAGGAATTTATTGCATTTTTATGACAGAGGGAAGTAGAGGGAGTGAGATTATGTGCTTGCAGAGCAGTTGCTTTTTGACAGCAGCCTGGCACACCTGAGGAAAGAATGTCTGGTAATAATCAACCAGCTCAAATCATAAAATTAGATCTTATAAAACTGTATGCTTTTACCGGACTGTTATCATTGACCAAAATCTCCATTTAATCCTTGTTGTTCTCTCGCTTTTACTTCAACACCTGTTAATTCCAGCCGGCTGACAGGTAAAGCCTCTTTTATAGCCTTCTGGGCAGAGGGCCCTGGAGTCAAAGGGCAGTAAAACACAGCAGACCTTTCCTGACCTCTGCACAGACTTCCTTTAGTCAGCTTTGCCCTGGGTTCTCCTTTTGCGACTCACTACAACAGCAAAACATGAAGCTTTTAAGACAAAAGTGCCTTAAAGGGCCCTTGATACAGAGGCTGTCCTTTCAATTCAACTCAATTCAATTCAACTTTATTGTCATTAAACTTACACAGTTGCATAGTATAATGAAAAGTGTTTCTCATTAGTCACTCAGGTGCAGTATATAAATAGGACAGAAGATAAGACAATAGACAGTTACACAATAGCAATAACAGTAACATGTAATAACATAACATAAATAACATGTAATCAAGTAATCAAAACTGTGCAAAATTCCACAAACAGAGAAAATATAACAGGACAAAAACAGTGCAAAGTAATTCTTGGAACAGCACAAAAATAGTATGGTTAAAAATAGTATGGTTAATTAATAAATATTAAATATTATTATGCCTGTTACAGTTTTACTGGGCTATCGAGGGGACAGTGCAATTTCAGCTTGCATGTGTGTGTAGTGGTGTAGGAGTACAGTCGTTGTGGGTACAGGAAGACATTAGGAGAGATGATGAGTCTTTCAGATAACGAGTCTTTCTCTGTTCTAGCAGGAACCCCATGGCGCTCAGTTAGTAAGAGAATGGCAGGATGAAATGGGCTGGTGTGAGGATGATACTGAGGAATAGGAATGAAAAAGTTTGTAAAGGCAGCATGGTCGTGCAGTGGTTAGCATCGCTGTCTTGCTGCACTGGGACAGTTATTTATCATATCACTGTTACTCACATGGTGGCAGTTCTTTAAGTTCGATGAAGTTTTGAAGTGGTTAAAACAAGACTGACCTCATGATGCCATCTCCCTGCTGCCAGGTTTCATTCTGATGTGCACAACAGTGCCACACAAGAAGGAGAGTGGGCCCCACCATGCAGAGGAAGACATTAAAACGCACACAGCTGCTGAGGTTACCTCGCACAACATTAAAGCCACTCATTGCCTTTGAAAACAGGCATCAGTGGCAGCTTTGAAAAGGCTGTTTTACCTGAAATGCACAAGTCCGAAATCAGGTTAGAGCATGAAAGTGTCCTGCCTAGTGTCCTCTTTCAGCTTCCCAGTCTGGAAATGAGATTTGATTTAAAGTGTTGGGGCTGCAGTGCATGCAGATCAATTGCAATGCTTTCCCTTAATGGCTTTCATTTTCCTTGTAGATGGCAGAACTGGAGGGTTAATTAATCTCCACTGCTAATAACAATAAGCAATTAGAGGCTTGATCCTTGCCAGTCCTTGACAGGTCCAGGGAGTAACCTCGTCCAGCAATCAGTGTTGAGCAGGGGTGGTTAGGATTGCAAAGTTTTCTCTGGCATTCCTCGAGCCCCGTGTTAATTCCCTGAATGGTGTGGAATGCGAGAACAAAGCTGTCACCTCTGGTAATGAGAAATAAATTCAAACGACCTCGTAGTTCATGTACAGAGCCTTGGTAGAATGGAATCTGTTTTATAGTCTTTGCTGTGATAAACAATACGCATTTTTCCAAAGCATTCTGCAGTGCCTTACGCACAGGCGTTCCTTAAGACTAAGACTTGTACCTCAGTAATCTTAAAGCAATTTCAGTTCAGTTAAGGAGTCTCTTCAGTTTTTGGTACAAGCCCCCTTCCAAGCTGACTAATGCATTGATTGTATTGTCCAATTTTCCTAATACTTTTTTAAATTATCTTGCAGTCTTTTGCGATGGCCTGCACATCAAAGACACAGTCATACACATAACGATACTTAGCAGCAGTGTTTATGCTTCTTATACTGCAAATACTAGGACTTCAAAAAACTGGACTCCTGTCCACTTGCTGTCAGTGTGTCTTCCGTAAAGCCTTTGTACTGTGTTCCTGCCACAGGGAAGCAATGTGTGCAGGTTTATATGCAGGGAAGGCTATTTTTAGAAAGCTGACAGCAGTAAAAGAGATATAAAAAGCAAGAGATAAAAACAACATGCTCTCCTGTTGTTGATTTGTCCTTCTATTTATATCTCTCCATGAATCCTTGGTGGTCACTTATAAGTTATATTATGACAGCCTGCTCTTAAACCTATTGTGTTCCCATATCGTGCATAAATCCTTTTTTATACCCAGACGTGTAATAAAACCATTGAAATCCTATACAAGCCTTTATTTAATTCTCTTCATGGCTGCTTTCCTCTGAAATTAATGAAACGGCATCCACAGTCCTGATCGTTATCAGCGGGGGTAATACGATCCAACAAATCCTGGAGAAGGGGCTCTCAAGTCATAAAGACATTGCAACATGTGTGCCTTTTAGAAGACAGGGTTAAACTAAAAGTATCTGCAAAAAAAAAAAAGCAGTTGTGTTGTTTCTAGATCAATCCAATCCCTCCTGCTTCATGGCATAAGTCTTGCATCCAAATATTGTACTGTATGTAAATGTTCTCCCAGTAAAGTGAGTCATAGAGACAGCATGGTCTTGGATCTCTCTTATAAACCATGCTGGATGCTGCACACAGCCCCTGGCAAGAGCAGGGATGTGAGTTCTGGTGCTGTGCTGTGCTGTGTCAGGACCACAGAGGACCTGAAGCAGCTGGATCGTAAATGCTTTTTGAAAGTTGAGGTTATTTACAAAAAAACATTATTGCTACCCTCTTTTAAAATAGTCACTTTAATAATCCTGTCTGTCATGTATCACCAGTGTGATTTAAAGTAATAATAGAGTTCAATTGAAAACTGTACTGTAAGGGCTCTAACACTGCTTTATTGTGCTTTCATTGTACAAGTTTTATAGCATCACAGACGTTTTCTCTTGAAACACACACTTCATGCCAGAGCTCATAGTTTAGTGTGTGACTTTTTTTTGCGGTGTCAACTTCAAACATGTGCAAATGGTGGAGTGATAGAGGTGACACCGCAAGTGGCGATGGACAGAGAAAACGATTTTGTGCTGCTCTTGAAGAGATCTGAGGAAAGGTTGCTATACAGTGCCCCCAGCTGTTCAGTAATCGAATTACACCCCCCCTCCATAACAGCCTTAATTCTTTATCATCATTATCACCATGCTCAACATTCACCGGTTAATGTTAAGAGTTTATTAAAGTGACTTAATATTACATGCCGGACGACTGAATTGTGACAGCCATCTCCCTTTCTGTTCTCTGATAAATGCACCAATCTCTTCTTTCCAGATTTTAGTGCTGTCACCGTTTCTCATTGTCTTTCAGAGGAATATTTTAGAAAGGATAAGTGAACTGTAGCGAGGTATTGTGGGCTGATCTCATGCCACGTTAGTGTGGCGGCAGTACAGTAGTTCCCACCCTGTCAAGGGCGTAAAATAGAAAGGTCGGCCTCACTGTGCACGTCATTTCAGAAACAGGTTCGCTGTAATAGGAAGACCACCTTATCGGCTTTTGATCAGTAATGGTCTGCTGCCCTTCTGCAGAGTTTCTGTTTCTGTAAACCTTTTAATATTTTCAATAGAAAGATCTCTGGCTCTTTAAGAATTCCATTGAGAAGGGTTCTATAGAAGGTGTTGTCACTGAACTTGTGAGGCGTATGAATCGTTTCAGTAGACAAGCCGACACAAGCAGTGTGACCTATCTCAATACATTGAGGTTTTCCCACCAGAGAGGCAGAACGTAGTGCTTGCTTTAGAAAGCGCTGAAAATGTGCAAAAGATTGATGAAGTTTGGGCAAGATAAAAAAGAATGACTTACAGTACATAAGACTCTGGTATTTTAATTCACTCCGTACTGTGAAAAACTGTTATTCTACTACTGTTATTTAAAGCATTAATATAATAGAAATTGATTATTTTAAACTATTTTCCTAACCGTTTGATTGTTTTTATTTTATTCCGAATGTTTGACATCAGGTTATATCCCAGATGAACTCAATTTGGCCCACAGGGTCGCGGGGAAGCCAGATCCTATCCCAGCCAGCTGAAATGCAAAGTTGGTTTTTAAAATACAAAGGTCTTTAGGACACAGCACTCGGGACACGAACACTTTCTTTACCCTCCGATGAGAGCTTCAACATGTATATGTTTGTTGGTATTCGTATCATTTTTTTTCTCAGGATTCAAGATGCAATATTTTAATACATAATAAGCATCCTCTCCAAATCAAAAGAGTAATATACATGTATGGAAAAATCGAATCTTTACAGTTTAGTAAAGGAATGGATTTATTCTGCCTGACTAGGAGTTTATTTTTGTTTTGAACGATTAAAACTTTGCAGTGGATCAGAAGTACTGTGCATAGCAGCAAAATAGAACTCTGACAATGGGTCAATTAAAAGGTTAAAAGGTAAAAGGTTTTTTTATCTGTACGTTGTTCTTCAGTCAAGGGTGAGATAGGTGTTAGTGTGACCTAACTGGCTCTTCCTTCATCTCCAGACAGGAAGAGACGGGAGAGTGCAGGAAGTGTTCCGGAGCAGACCGAAGTGTCTCTCAGGACGGGATCCTACCTGGGAGGCTGGAAGGTACCTCCGGTTATATTACCATGGTTTGCATCTCAATGGCACTTTTTTTACCCTGAAAGATCCCGTAACACCACCGGTGCCACACAGGGTGGGAGCTGCTTGCTCTCTTGCTGAAGCGTGGCCCCCCCCATCTGGGGGGCACTGGGGCCCCGAGGTGTCGTCCATCGCACCTCCTCCAGCGGGACCCTTAGTTATTCCCAGGAGGTCTCCCATCCAGGTGCTGACCAGGCTCACACCTGCTGAGCTCCAGTGGGGCCGCCAGCTCTGCGCTGCAGGGTGATATGGCTGCCAGCTTATGGGAAGGCCTGGTTTTACTCCCGTGCACTTCCGAAGTGTCCCCCTAGCAGTCATTACATTTTACTGTTTATCATTGTGCATCATTGACGCCTCCAAAACCTCACAAAAACATGTTCTGCTGGTCGTGCATGGCCTGCAAAACCAGTTACCTGTCGCTACCGCTCGGTTCCCCTCTGGAGAAGGCAAAGCAGGCAACAGCCCCGCTGTGCTGTAACGTCTGGTGTGTGTGTGTCTGTGGCTCTGAGATGGAAGCTGGGTGTGTCCCGGGAGGAAAGCACAGACACGGCAGGGCTCTGTCTGCTCTCGCCAGGTGGCGCTGTGGGTGCTGGCCTCTCTGCTGCCCCTCGTGGACGGGCTTCTTCCCGGGGAGAGCCTGCGGGCTGAGCCCAGCCCCGAGCCGGAGTCGGTGCTGGGGAAGGCAGTCTGGATCCCGCCCGACAACCTGGAGGTGGAGGAGCCCAGAGAGGGCGGAGAGGCACATTCGTCCTGGGGAGGTCTGTTCGGTGAGTCCCCGGAGAGAGGTGCTGAGAAACCAGCGTGACTTAACATGGCCCACGGTAAACTTTGTAGTAAACACTCTGTGTGCTTATCTGTGACTTTCACTTGTGCAGTGCCTGTTGAAAATTCGATTTTGGTCAACGGGAAGCTGAGCATATCTTCTTCCTAAGAGGGCGTTGGTAATCTCTCCTCAGTTTTGCGATCCTCATTTGGAAGTAACAAATAATTTTCACCTGTGCGCAGGTGAAGCAACATTTGGAGTCAATCTTAATAAATTCAGTTCAGACCAGGGACTTTTTAAGTATTTTCTTCCCTCAGATTTAAGACAGAAATATTTATCAGTTATATTTCTGTTTACAAATGGAGCATCTGTGTTTTAATGCTGCTTCACTTTTCTTTTGGCCATGAGAACAGCTTTGAAATGATAATTTAATGCACATGTGCTAACCAAGCCTTTCTGGGAAAAAGATTTTTGTGACTGACTAGCAGGCTCAGAAAGAGCAGTGAAGAGCAGTAAAGTTTGCGAAGTCAGTAATGCATACGTCAAGTCAGTAATACATACAGTACAGTTAGATTACAAATCTCAACATCTGAACATCCAAAAAGATCCTCCCATGGTCTAACGAGATATAGTATAGCTTACAAATGGCCTCAGGCACTGGATGCATAGCATTGTTTTATGAAATTATGTTAAATCTTTCAAGAAATCAACCTGCAAGTTTGAACACAATGAACCACATGCCATGAAGTTGCTCACACGGTAGGTTTCTTAATTCCGTTGGCCTCAGGAGCGATATTTGTGAATGCCTCTCGTCTCTCTGTGGAATTTAAACAGCATCCATAGGCACATGAAAGGACATGTGCACACGGTTTCTCTGGTCCAGAAATCCTGTAAGAAAACCAGTGATCCACCCTTTCACGGGAATTCACATTCAGGGAAAAGTGTGAGCAGAGAAGGATGAAGCCTGCCCCTGGTTTAGCTGCTCAAAGAAACCTTGCTTGTTTCAGAAAAAGCCTACGAAGGAAGCAGTGAGAACACAACCGAGCACTTCTAACCCGTTTTTATGATCTTGCAATTCAGCTTGTTTTAGGCTTTAAGGAGTTATCTCCATCGAAACAGCACAGCTTAATTAACGAACAAAGCCACACTGTGCTTCTCTTCTCTTTAGCTAAAGCACTCTCTCCCTTGATGTCAGTGAAAGACCGCATGCTCTGGGAGTACATTAAGTAATGCGTTACTGATAATTCAGTCACTATTTGAACAGACCCTAAAGACTTTCCAATCTATTAACTTGTTGAATTGAAATATTCCTATGACTTGTTTCCACTCCCCCCCCACTTCGGTAGTAACCAAGAGACTGCAGCGGTCCGATTTCCGTGGATAAACTCTAACTGGTAACGCTGGGAAGCAGAGCCCACTAGTGGGGGGTGTAGTTTGTTGGGTAGGGCTGAGCTGTTACAGGAGGGTCACGGGTTACAACTGCTGCTGCGGACCCAGCGTGTCCAAGGGGTTTGGTCCCGATTCCTTCTTTCAAACTTTCGGCTGTAAGGCAGGTGACAGCATCACTGGGGTTAGCCTGCGCTGCTTCTTGGCCGACGCAGTCGCTGTTTAGGGGAAACGTCCCTTTAGTAAGACAGAGGACGGTTACAGACTGTGTCCTCTGGCCGGCTCACCCTCTCCCTGTCTTCCCACAGCTCACCCGGCCCTTGCCGAAGACCCGGCGCTCCATCGGGGCCGGTGGGATCGCTCTCCCCCGGGCTCCGCGCGGCCCGGCCGGCCCAGGAAGGGAGAGAAGAAGTCCAAAAGGGACTGCCGAGTGCGGATCAAGAACCTGCGCGTCCGCGACCTGGGGCTGGGCTACGAGTCCGACGAGATCGTCCGCTTCAAGTACTGCGCCGGCGGCTGCCAGCGGGCGCGCAGCGACCACGACCTGGTGCTCGCGGCGCTGGTCCGGCAGGGGGCCATCAAGGCCCGGGAGGGCGTCTCCGCCCACCCCTGCTGCCGGCCCACGCGCTACGAGACCGTGTCCTTCATGGACGTGGAGAACAGCTGGCGGACGGTGGAGCGGCTCTCCGCCGCGGAGTGCAGCTGCGTGGGCTGAGAGGCCCGAGCCTTCGCGGGGTTTGAGCGCAGGAGGAGGAGGAGGAGGAGCGGCACGGCTTTATCGGAACTCCAGCTGGAGGAGGAGACGACACTGGCAGGAGGGGTGGGACTGGGGTTGACTCGGGAGACGGGCACCTGCCGCGCGCCAGCGCTTCAAAGTCTGGAGGAGGACAGGAGGGGGGGCAGGCCTGCATTTTCGGTTTCGGGGGAAAGCTCCCGGTGCCCTCCGCCTTCTGTGCAGAAGGGAGGGCGCAGCAGACTAAGCAACAGGGCCCGAGCCTCGACTGACGGCCTTTTCTTCCAGACGCTTTTAATCTGGGAGGTGGCACACGCGAGCCCAGATTCCCCATCCGAAGAGTCGGGACTGAGCTGCGCTGGCCTGCTGGAGGCGAGAGATGGAGAGGATTCCGATATGTAAAGACTCTTCCAGCTGTGTGTTCGCTAGAAACAGTCCCGGGAGTAAGAAATGCCTTAATCAGAAAAGTGGAAATGCGCCAACCTGCTCTCCCAGAGATTTGTAAATGGGAGCAAGGGAACACAGCTCAGATCATGCAGTTCTCTTCTTGATTCCTCTTTACTGTGCCCTCGGGAGAGAAAACTGTGGATATTGAGAGGGTTTCCCTCCCTTTTTGGGAGGGATTACTGGGACCAGAACCAGCAGGATCCAGAGTTGACGGAAATGGAAAGGACCGGGGCCGGATCAGTGGAATGAACTCAATCAGAATGACAGCTTCTCTTTTCACATGGCTTAGGCATGAGGACTGTGCAGGCAAAATTGAAAGCTGGGTCGACTACAGTCAAAAAAGACTTTAAAACAAGCTGGGCGTTAACTCTGAGAACTGAAGCATCTCTTGTCATTGATTGTTCCAGGCAGCACCCTAGTTACTAGTCCAGTAAGCAGGATTTACTCTGTTAGAATTGCAATACACAGGAATCTATTTGTATTGAACTGTGAGACAGTTTAGTGTTGCTAGCCAGAGAAAACAAAGAGTGAAAGGATATTTCCTGTCAAGCTGCAGTGTACCTCTAGCGAAGAGAACATTTCTTGATAACACATCACAGGCTCTGTGAGGTGACGTTGCTATTGCTATTGAAGATAATAAGATGATGTATATTCTTTGTCCATTTTATAAAAAATGAGTATAAGGTCACGTCATATAGAGACCACAATAATGGGTAGTTTCCACTGGGACATAGGTGTCCCAATGGGGACATGTGGACAAGAACTTCACATGGGTGACCACCATCTTTTATTATTGTGAAACCATATTGAGTTATGGGTATTGGCATGTAATGAGCAAAATATACTTGTACTACAAATTTGCTTATCACATAATGCCTGAGAGACAGGCAAGAGGAAATGAATTTCACTGACGGCTTGCTCATGACATATTGCTTCAGAATTTCCTTTTTCACATCTGTGGGCCAGATACACATTTTTAAAGCAGGTGAGTCTCATTTTAACAAAAGTGCATAAATCTGGAGCTGACTCTCCATTTGTAAGAGAAAGAACCTGGCAAAAGATAGTAGTTACTCAGTGTTTTGAAAAAGATTAGGTGCTCCCAGTGACAAGCTGTAACCCAGTTCAGTGCAAGTCTACATTGCGCAAGTGAAGGGCAAAGCATGCTTAACTAAAGTGAAGATGTAGAATGGGTGTAATCAGTTGCCATTTTATATATGTCTGCTTACTGGGCAAGGCTAGAAAAAACTCCATTCCTAACATCACCTTGCCAAAGAAAATTGTAGTTTTTCTAAACTCCTTGTCCCTCACCACAACTTGAAGACTCGGTCTCTTCCAAGACCTGGGACCTAAGACCTTTGCCTCCTATAAAACAAAGCAACAGTGTCTGCCACACTTCTCTGAGGGTCACTTAAAACACACCGCAAGTGTGCTTCTTTAAACTCAGGGCCATGCTAGTTAGCCATCTTAGAATGCTTAGCTTTCTGCGTACCGTAGTTCCCATAAGCCTCTGCTGTACCTCCAGTAACAAGCTTTCTCCAGGCAAGGTGTTAACTCTCTCAAGACCTTTGACCTCAAGGCCTTCTGACATTTTCCTTGACTTTCATTCCTGTCAACTTATTTGAAAAAAAGAAGTATCTCGGATAGCATTTTCAAGACATTAATTGTAGGATTCTATCAAAACCGTACGTCCTCAAAGGCAAAGTGAAGAGCCTGTATGACAGAGACCTAGATCGGTGAGCACTGACGATGAAGTGTGCGCCCAGAGCACGCAAGTTTATGGTGGAATTTTTTTATCACGCTAGGTTACATTGAGTCCCAAAAATTAAAGTCTCTTTTCAGGGTTACTTAATAAGTTTCATTTTTTTTCAAAGGAACATAACATTTTTTTTGCTGTTTGATGTATACAGTATGTATATATTTATTAAACATAGTTTCTATTTTGTTAAGAGAAGGGTTCGAGTAGCTTAATTGTTGTTTTGTAAAAACGTTAGTTTTTCTAATATTTATGGCTGTTAACAGAGCTTTTTTACTGTTGCGGATCTTTCTTCATTTATATATTAGTGTGGCAATGCTTTATTGTGCTCAAAGGAAGAGCAGATTCTTAACCATGTTGTTTTTCTTTTGCCTCCTGTACAGTAAGCATAGCTTTCAGGGTCGTAAACAATATGCCACTGCTAGTCATGTAAAAGCCATTCAGATTGCTTTACAGTACCTCATAAGACAGAACGACTGAAATGTGGTAGAACATTTCCATACCAGTGAAGGCCTTAATTTCCTATGTTTATTTTGCCTATTTAAAAGTTGAAGCAGGAGGAGGGATGTAGGAAAAAGGGGACACAATATTTTTTTGTTTTTTAAAGGGAAGAGTTTTGGCATTATTCGATGGGAATCAAGGAGTCAGGGTGCATCAGAAATGGGTTTGAAATGAACCTGGGGTTTCAGATTTAACCCACACATGCCAAGCACAGCCTCCAGTCCAGAAGAATTCATCTCAGCTCTCGACATGTTTTCATGCTGAAATGTTATATCATAGAAAGTGTATTAAATATTAAATGTTGGAAGAGCAGTTCTTGTTGATAGAAATGCTGATAACGTATTTAGCAAAAATGATCCATCGTATCTGCGTTTGACTGTTTTCTCTGGAGCAGCATTGTAGTGTTTCTTCCATAGAGCAATGTCAGGATCAGAGCATTTTTCATCTACCTTAACGTTTAACATTACCGGTTACATACAGTTCGCTTTTTTCTTCCTTCGTTGAAAAGGAACTGGAAGGAGCAGTTTTCTGCTCGGTTCACGTTGCACTTCTTCTGCACCAACTCACGGCTGCATCACAGAAGTTGTTCTTTGAAAGTTTCCGGTTTGACCGGCGATATACTACCAACCCTAGGTCTTGTCTTGTGTTCCTCAGGACTGGGATGTCTGGTCCTTGTTCCCAGTGAAACCGTTGTTATCTGCTGGTTAGAAAATGTACCTTTGACGATTGTCAAAGGTTTTATGATCCACTAACCTGTTGTGTTTCATATGGTTATTAATTTTTCAGTTAAAAAAAACATAGCACTTAAAAATCCCTATTTTCTGTTTACTATGAGCACCTCTCGGGGTTTAGAACAAAGGAATGATAATCTTTTGTTCTGTATTACTGTGTTGTAGTTGGTGTCCGCGGTATCTCCAGAGGTCTGGATGCTGTACTGTTATATTATTTTCTTCCTGGAGTGTCCTCTTCTGTCCTTGACCGGGCAGGTCAGGCTGCAGTTTTCGGCTCTCGCTCTTGAAGCTGGGGTGCTGTCCTCTGAAACCTTTCAATGAGAACAAATGGACACAACTGGAGGCCTCCAGCCTCTCAGAAATGTAATTCTTGGCTGACGTGCCGAAATGGCATCTTTTTGCTTTGGATTGCAGTAAAATTGCATTGAGACACGAAATAGCAACGCTCTGAGTAGGGAACTGCCAAGAGCTCCGTATCTTCGGTAGCGATCTGTACAGCAGACGGGTTTCTTTGTTTTATGGCTGTTATACTTTTTGGGGTCCCTGTCTTAACAACGCAAAACATTCAAGAAGTATCGGAAAAATGAGTGGAATGTCTTATTTTATGACTGTCAGTTCGTTTAGGGTGCTCAGGAAATAGTGTCACGTCTCTTTATGAATGAGGAGTGCAGTAGTGTGGTCCCGCATGTACAGTGAGAATCGCAGTGCTACTCTGTAAATCTCCAAGGTCAAGATAAAGCATTAGGATGTCCACGACACTGTCAGTAAGGCCTGGCATGTCCTCTACTCCTGTTAATAAACAGTATTATAAATAATACAACTCAAAAAGCACAAAATCGGTTTCCTTTGAGGAGGTCTTTTTCGGTAAAACACGTGATCTGAACAATTTTATTTTACTTCTGACACGCTTCAGTTAACTGTTCTAGCAAAGTAAATTGGTTGAGCCAATATATTCAGTAGCCTGTCAGAAAACAAACCTCGCAGTTTGTGATATCTGCACCACAGTTCAAAGTTGTCAGTGCACAGCTCTACATGGCTTTTCAAAGAGGGGCTTACGTCTGAAGACGAGAGAGAATGTGGGCCATCAGGCAGCGACAGGTGATGATTCCTTCTGATGCATCTTTGCAGTCTTTGGAGTAGAAAAGAAAAGGCCGGCACGACTGGCGTTTGGACCTGTTGATCTCGGTCAATGTGTTTTTTCTCATTCACAGTTCCAGCTTTTGTTTCAGTCCAGCAACCCCTGTTGCAATAAAAGCAGCTGTCTTTGTAAAACTTGCCAAGTTTTTAAAAAACGAGGTTTTGATCGTGATCGCGCCCAGCAAGGCCAAGCAACCCTTTCGCTGTTATCTACAGTGTGGCCTGAAGGCTCTTGTCGCCTGAGGACTTTTGGGGTGAATGGAAAAGCTGGGGTACAGCTTGTGGAGTGAAATTCAGCTGGATTCTGTTTTCCTCAGTCTTTGTCCATTGCTTTAGCACAAACCGACAATCCTCACTGAATGCTGTAAATGTCTTTGCATTATTGTTCTGTAGGCAAAGTATTTATTACATTAAGTTATTTATTATTTATTATTTTTTATCAAACTCGTTCTTTTGGATATCAGACTGCTATTTATTTTAAAGTGGCCATGTATCTTTTGATGTACTTACTGATGTTTTAATTTGTTGGTTTTTGTCACGTCACACGGACATGCACAGCGAGACCTCTGCAGTGTGAATGTCAAGATACAAAAGCTATTACAACAGGGGGAAACAAAACTGCCTTTCTATTTAAGGTGTTTTCTTCCACCCCCAGTTGGGCTCCTCAGAGGAGACGCAGTTCTCCAGAGAAGGAAAATTTTAATCCACGACCTTCCTGCTACTGGGGTCTTTCTGTAGCTGAGTTGTCAGATGTTGCCACAATAACAATACAGAATCTCTGGGGCAAGCGAAAACTGTGACAGAGGTTGTTTTTTTTACTACAGTATTTTAAATCAACGACAAAATGAATTTATTATTCAATAAAGGATTTATTATTATCAATATTATTTACGGTTTCAAAAGGTTTCCTGAGCTCTATTTTTGTACCATGTCACTTCCTGCATAGGAATAAAGTTTCAAAAAAGACCTGAAGTGCTGCTGATTCTTATTTTTATGGAATGTATCCACTCTTTCTGTTCACAGAGAGCCTATATTTAAAGACCTAATTCCGAAACCAAGCAATCTGCTTAACATACAGGACTGCTGTCATTAACCAGTGTCTGGGCCATGAGACTGGTAAGAGTGAAATTAAAAATATTTTACAGGGGTGTTCTCCAGTGGGCAGAACAGTGGTGCAGTGGTTAGCATAACTGTGGCTCTGCTTTTTCCTGTTTTCCTGGGGTGCTGTCAGTTCGGAGTTTGTATGTTCTCCCTTTGTTCACGTGGGTTTTATTTTAGCCCTGCTGTGAGCATGTATGTGTTTGTGTTGGTGTGTGCCCTGCGATGGACTGGCATCCCATCCAAGGTGTATCCTGCCTTGCACCCGTTGCTTGCTGGGATAGGTTCAGTTTCCCCCACGATCGTGCATGGAATAAAATGGTTAGATATGTGATGGATGTTTCTCCAGTGATTCAGCTGATAAAGGCCCCTGCTATGAACTCAGTGTTCAAGATTCTGTCATGTGACTATGACTGGGATTCCCCATTTGGTGATGTGCAATTGGCAGAGCATTATACAGCCAGGGTGACTCTGATTGGCTGCCAATGCCTGCAGCCTTGCAGTGACAGCACAGAGATATACACTGTTCCTCCAATCAGCACTCACTCTCCTGTCAGGCTGTATGGAGTTCCAACATGTCATAAAGCAGATGGTTCTGCAGGCAGGTGTACCTCGGTATCACCTCTCAGTCTCCTGAGCAGATAGAGGAGGTGTGGATTGGAGGACACAAATCATCAGCGATTATAAATTGAGTTTGTGTGCAATCTACAACTTTAACTTTTATTTTAAAATATTTAAAACACGAATTCCATAGTTCTGAAATCACTCTGGAGAAGTGGAATTGTTATACCAAAAACTGGGAAGCCCACGTTTTGCAAATAAAAACTAAATAAAATAATATTCTTCTTGGGAGAACGATCAATAATCGTAAGTAGCAGAAGCTACTGTGCAACCTAAAGAGGAAAATGGAAATGTTAGTCAATAATCACTCTAAATTTCATTCATTATTCATCTTTAAAGACCGGCTGACAGGAAAGTGCATTACTCTACAACACGTCCTGTTTTTTTAATTATATAGATTACAACACAAAGGACATGGCTAGCGGTGATGAGATTTATTTTAACAGGAATGAGGGAAATTGCGTATCATTGTGTAGCAACTCCTGCTTGTTATTGCCTGATTTGTTTCAGCAATACGGCAGTTTGGGGTTGATTGTGATGAACCCGCCATGCAGCCTGTTCTTCCAGAGCAGTGAAGTTGCTCCACCGGAGTGACCTATTCCAGATGGGGGTGGTTGCAGTGGCCTGTTCCTGATCGAAAGCTGTTCCCCAGAGGGCGGGGGAGAGACTAGGAGCCGCACGTCCCAGTAAACTAAAGCTTTGTTCTCTTATCTCAACACCATCAAGTTTTGATTGGCTCCTTCTTTTGCTAAAATGCAAAGATAAGGCACCTGATGAATGCTTTCCGACCGCAAACAGAGGCCCAGTGTTGCACAGTGACAGACTCCCTTTATTGAGACATAATTTGCAGTGTTAAAATCTGATCGCTGTTTATACAGCAGAAAGCAACAGAGAGGGCTTTTTCTGCGAGGGGGCGCTGAGGGTTTGATTCTGATCTTTTTTAAAAGAAAACTTGTAAAAGTAACAATACCTTGGGTGGCAGGTGACTAAACATCTATTCTGAGCAGCTGGGGGGGCGTA